TTCAAAAATCCTACTTCTCATGTCTAAAACCAATGGTTATTAAATGTTAGTAAAAATCAAAATCACCTGTTGGGCTTATTCAAACAGATTTCTGGGCCCTATACTCAATTTCCGATTCAGTAGATTTGGGGTAAAACCCTGGAATTTACAATCCTAACAAGTTCCCAGGTGATGCTCCTTCTGATCAAGGGACCACATTTTGAGAACTAGTGCCTTAAATAAAAATGTCAACTTGAAGGATAGGCATGAACTCTAGAGATGAGAATCTGTATTCATAGTAAGAAAATCCATTCAACAACTGTTTACCAAACACCTGCCCCATGTTTAGGTACAGGGAATACAATGTTTACAAGAAAGACAAGGTCCCTCTTTCTTCTTTCCCATAGCCTGAAATAATTCAAAATAATCTGACATGTATCTGATTTTTCCTAATGGGAAAAAAACAATTACTTTAGTCAAGTTCCACTGGGAATATGAAGACAGAATCAACAGGGGTTTCAATTAAAAATATATATACTTAAAGTCTTAAGTATATATATTTTAATAAGGCATTACAAGGTCTTCTTTCCTGTTGAGAATATTAGTATGGTTGCTTATTTCAATATTCACAATCATTAAATGCCATATTTCAATCTAGGGAGGACAGGGTGGGGTGTTGAGACCGTTTTTCCAGAGCACCCCAGTCAACTGGATCAAGCGGTAAAGTACACCAAGGAACTGTTCTCTCAAACCTCAGTAGTGAACAGAGCGCAAGCTCTGGTATTTCAGCAGATAGCTGGCACCCTGCCCAATCACCAACCGCCTGCTCCTCAGCCTTCCTGGAATGTTACAGGTGCATAATGTGGGTCGCCCTTCTGAAAAGGGGAGTGGGACTGAGGTGGGCCTTTCAAACCCTTCCAGCTAGAGAACAGAGGCCACGTGATGCTAATGAGGCATGAGTGACTTCTGCAGGACAAGACTCCTCCCACCGCGAAGATAAGCGCAGGCTACCCTAGCCACATCTTGGAAGCCCGGGAGCTGCAGCAGGTGGGCACAGACCACTAATCCCCTGCCTGGCTCCTCCATGTAGCTCCTGGTTGTCGGCTTCGCGCGCCTCTAATTAAAGCTAACTGCAACTACAAGAATAAGAAATGCAGTGTTCATCTGTAGTACACCACTCCAGTGGTAAACCTTTTCAAATGTGCCTCCCTTGTAATGTAGAAAGACTGACCTTCCAACATCAGCCACTCTTATCACAGTGAAAGAATGTGTGTCTTTTCACTCAGAATCCGCAAAGCAACCATCAGTCAGTGGAGAGTGTTGACTTAAAGAGACCTCTGTCAAACCTTTTAACATTTCCTTTAGAATAAAAAGAAAATAATGCCTATGTCTTTCTTAGTTCCTGCCACACTCACTTTCTCACAGGGATAATGGCATTTAGTTCTAGCTTAAAGAAAAACAAATCCTAAGTTTCATTAAATTTAGAGACAGGTAAGGCAGCCACTTTAATTTATTATACAAATCCCTCCATGTTTACAAATTATCTTTTATTCTTCGAATATAAAGACTACCCTTTGATGGTGACAGGAACTCTGCTGCAGCTCAGCAGCATCATAAACCCTGACACTCTCTTCTGCCTCTGCCAGTAGTCAAAACCTGCCCAAGCTCAAACATGATTCTCAGAACATGCTAGAAGAAAGCTTGATTGGATTACTGCATGCAATGTGGTAATGTTTGAAGAGATTATGAAGTATGAAAAAGTAGGTCCTATAGACATTTACCACTTAGTCTAATCTTACGTCATTCTATCTGTAGGAAATTGTATCTGATACTTTCTAATATATTATAGACAGAAAGATGGAGAAAATCACTCTGCTGGAAATGGCCTTTGTCACCTCTCAGTTAAAACATGTACCAATAGAAAGAAAGGATTAACATTAAATTTGTTTGAAATAGAATATATCCCTTTAAAAAACCTAGGTATGCATGGGGTTGTTAATGATGGTGGAATGTGTGATCATTATTATCCAAATGGTGTGAATATACTATGTATACAACCAGAGATATGTAAAATTGTGCTCTATATATATAATAAGAATTGTGGGATGCATTCTGCTGTCATATAAAAAAACCCTATCTATATATTTTAATCAATGTTTTTTACAAATATAAGCTAAAGATGGATTAGTGGAGGGAAAACATTGACTTTCCAGTTTCAACTTGTTTTAAACTGAATTACCTCCCAGCTGCCACCTGCCCAATCACAAGGTTCCCAAGCTGTTCTGAATTTAGACCCAGAAGTAAACTGGGAGGAATATTGCTTGGTAAACTCAGGACTTGATTTATAAGACAAGGGTAAACAACAAAACTCTGAGTCCTTACCAAACTTCATTTTTCTATAAACCCAATTTTTCTCTCTGAATAATCTATCTACTGCCTTTAAGCAAAATGAGTTGCCTTTAATTTTTCTGATAAATAAGGATTACATACCACTTTGTGTTGTAAGTTTTTCTGCATGGACTCCATACTCCAATTGCATTTCTGGCATTCATTCAGAAAAGTTGAATTAAGTCTCTAAAAGTTAATTTATATGAGGTTTTTATATGTCTACACACCCCCCCAAAAAAAATATCTTGGTCATGATTTTTAAGAATTTCTTTCTTTCTGAAGTACTGGAGATGAAACCCAGGGCCTCGATGCATTCCAGACAAGCATTCTATCATTAAATCATGTTTTCAGACCAAATATGTTCACTTTCAAAAAATATTTATTTAAAAGTGAAGCATGAGCCAGGCATAGTGGCACTCACCTGTAATCCCAATGCCTCAGGAGGCTGAGCCAAAATGATCACAAGTTCAAAGCCAGACTCAACAACTTAGTAAGGTACTAAGCAACTCAGTGAGACCCTTTCTCTAAATAAAATATTAAAACAAGGGCTTGGGATGTGGTTCATTAGTTAAGTGCCCCTGGGTTCAATCCCTGGTACAAAAAAAAAAGGAAGAAAGAAACATGGCTGCTTCCTTCCCTATTAAAAAAGAAAAAAAAAATAATCTGCCTTGTTCAGTAGTAACATGTGATCCACTTAGCTAAATCTTAACAAACACTATGTTCCTGGCAAAGACTGTTTATTTTATTATTATATTTTTCCCATGTAGGTGTTCAGGATTTCATTTAAGAAGGACTGCAACATCAGAACAAGTCTATTAACATGTGTTGCCAAAGGAACACTATGTAACTTCTGCACTATCACAACCTCTAGCAACTATCAACAATCTCTACAGAACGTTCTTTCTGGCATATACATAGCTGTATTAAGTATCACTGTTTGCTTCGGAAACAATGCTTTTTCTTGTGAGAAGACATATGACACCACCTTGTCACACAAAACAATCCACAGTGGGGCTGGCCCTGGACACTGTGCAGAACCCCCATCTCACCCAGAGACAAGGTTTTCAGGTAGATAGGCACGCACACACTTGGATAGAGCTACAAATTGGTCATTTTTTTTTTCCCTTAAGGTAGAAATTTGGCAAAATATATCAAGGGTATTTACAGTGTTTTTGGTTTTTCCTTAAAAATGTTTGTAAAACTTTTGACCCTTCTTTTTACCTCTAATAATATATAGTAAGGAAATAATTTTTAAAAACAGAAATATATCCTTGAAATATATATCCAGAAATATACCCATGGCCCTCCATTGTAAAAAAAAAAAAAACAAATTTAGAGACATTAATCACACTATAAAAGATCTTAAATAACTTCATTAAACTCACATGAAAAGCCAACATAATTTAGTCACTAATATATCCTAAAACCTCACAAAAATACAAATTTTCAAATGTGTGGTATATACAACAATTAATTTAAGTTAATGGAGGCAGGTGGTTTCAAAACAGAAAATAAGGCTCCAATGCTGTTTCCATAGTAAATAGTATTAAGCAGAATGCATCCAGATTTTATCAACAGCATTAAGAAAATTGTTTCTGTCTTTCATAATGATGAAAGAGCCTCTAACGGATTAACTTGCTGGTAAGAGCACCTCAGACAGGATGGAGGTGACAGATTGAGCTTATAAGGGACCTGTGTCCTGATTTCTATATTACAGGAAGGCTGTACACCCAGCTGGGCCCACTGGGCAACAGTGCAGCCAGACAGCAAGATTGTCATGCTAAGAAAGTGAGTAAAGGCTTCCTACCAGGGCATGCTGACGACACCATCTTTTCACAGTAGTGAAAATATACGTATAGACTTGAAAAGTCAAGCCCAATTCATAGTTACAGAGGTAACTTTTTTTTCACATGT